TAGACAAAAAAGAAGAGGAAGATATTCTTCAAAAAATGGGTTGACCCCCTCAGTCTCCAGACCTCTCTCCAATTGAGCTTGTGTGGGATGAATTGGATCGATCAATCAGAAAGGCGCGTCCCACAAATTAGCCGTATCTTTTTCATGAACTTAAGAAAGCTTGGAATACAATCCCTGGAACATACCTTAGAAAATTTGTGGAACGAATGCCTGGTATATGCCAAGCTGTTGTTAAAGCCAAAGGAGGTTACTTTAAAGAAAGCAAAGTCTAAGCAACAATAACTCAAATACCTAGTAATTATAGTCAAAATGTCTTCTGATAAGTTACTCTTTACACAATAGTCATGTTTATTGTGTTGCAAAGTTTATTAATGAAACTACTATTTTTTTGTACAAATCTGATCTTGCTTCCAAACTTTTGGCCTGTAGTGTATGTAGATCCCTAACCCCTATATAGGTGACTACATGGGGGATAGCGCCATTTTGAGGGGTGTCCTAAACCTGAGTAATCAATTCCAATGCCCCATACAGGCGACTCAAAATTTTCCATAGAGCATTACAAAATATAGTGACCATCCGATGGTCACTCACCGGTGGTGGGCATCCCACTATGCATTGCGTCTCCAGCGGCAACGACACAACGGTAGTGTCTGAAACCTCCTGTGATTGAGCTCACTACATAGTCAACTATATAGTGAAACCCCATATGGGGGTTAGGGGTTAGGGATTGAGTGATCCATTTAGGACACAGCCTAAATCATGTTGTATATAAAATCAAGGTCAAACTTCACAAGGTCACTAGGTCACTTTAGTTGCCATTAACCTAGAAACTATGTAGAGTAAATGGAGCCCAACGTTCTGACCCACTTATTTGGTTATTCTCTATACTCTCATTGGGCTAATAGAATCCATATGTCCCAAGAAATGGGTATGGATCTGAAAAATAACCAAAAAAAAAATTAAACTCAACATGTAAAACCCAGGAATTGGGATAAGAAAAGAACCCAAAAGTTTTTAGAGTGTACCTTACCTCCCTCACCTACAACTCCCTTGAAGCACCTAACCTCCATTTCCCACACAAACTGATGATACCTCACCTATCTTACTGACACCCTCATCCCACCTTACCTCCTGCACTATCACCCTCTGATCCCACCCAACCGCCCTCATCTACATCCCTCTCATGATACCTTACCTCCCTCATCTACACCCCCTCACCCTACCTTACCTCTTTCACCTACACACCCTCACCCTACCTTACCTCCCTCACCTACGCCCCTTTATCTCACCTAACCTCCCTCACCCCAACCCACTGATCATGCCTTACCTCCCTCACCTTCACCCCCTTATCCTACCTGACCACCTATATTTACACACCCTCACCCTACCTTACCACCTTCACCTACTCCCCCCTCATCCCACCTTACCTCCCTCACTTACACCCCCCCACCCTACTTTACCCTCCTTACCTACACCCTCTGATCCCACCTTACCTCCCTCACCTACATCCCCCATCCGCACTTACCCTCCCTAATCCAACCTAAACTCCCTCTTTTACTTTCCCCTAGTCCTCCTTTAACTTTCTTACCTTTAGCCACTCATCCCACCTTTACAGCCTAACTATAACCCCCTCATTCCTCCTAAGCTTCCTCACCTACCCCCCCACCCCCACACCCTACATAACATCCCTTACCTACCCCTCCGTATCCTACCCCACCTCCATTAACTTCCTTCCCTTATCCGAACTTACCTCGCTCTCCTGCACCCCTCTCATTCTACCTGACCTCCCTTCCATACACACACACTTACTATACCTTACCACTCTCACATACCCCCTAATCCTACCTAAGCCCTCTTAGTTTAAGCTCCTTACCCTACTTCACTTCCTTACCTAAACACCTCTCATCTCACCAAACCTCAATAACCTACACCAACTGATCATACCTTACCCATCTTACCTACACCCTTATTCCACCTTCCCTCCTTCACCTACACACCCTCATCCTAATTTCCCTCATCTACACCCCTTATCCTACCTTACCTTCCTTAACTCAAGCCACTCATCCCACCTTAGCAGCCTAACTTAAACCCCCACATTACACCTTTACCCTCCTAACACCCATCTCCTTATCCTACCTGACCACCTTTATCTACAACCCCCTCACCCTACATAACCTCCTTTACCTACCCCTCCAAATTCCACTTTACCACCATTAACTTCCTTCCCTCATCTGAACTTACCTCACTCTCCTGCACCCCTCTCATCCTATCTGACCTCCTTTCCCTACACACACACTCACTATATTTTACCACCCTCACATACCCCCTAATCCTACCCAGGCCCTCTTAACTTTAGCTCCTTACCCTACCTAACTTCCTCACCTTCACTCCCTTGTCTCACCAAACCTCAATTACCTACAGCCCCTGAACATCCCACTTTACCTCCCTGACCTACACACTCTCAAAATACCTCACCTCCCTCACCTAGCCCCTTATCCTACCTTACCTCTCGTACCTACACCTCCTTACCCTACCTTAACTCCCTCACCTGCAGCCCCTCATCCAGCATTACCCCATCACCTACACTTCCTCATCTGACCTTACTTGCTCTTGTACACCCCCTTTATCTACACATCTCTACCCCACCTTTGCTCCCTGACCTACACCCCCACCCTATATTAACTTCCTTACCTTAACCCCCATCCACCTTACCTCATTCTACCTTTCCTTCCTAATCCCACCTCACCAACTTTCCCTACACCCCCTCACCCCACCTTACCTTCTTTACTACACCCCCTAATCCTTCCATACCTCCTCTACCTACGCCCCCTTCAACACACCTTACCCCCTCAATAACGCTCCCTCATCCTTCCTGACCTCCCTTACCTAAACCCCCTTATCGACCGTATCTCAATTAACTACACCTCCTCTTTCTATCTTACCTCCCTTACCACATTACCCACCCTCATCTTCACCCCTCTTATCCCATCTTACCTTCTAAACTAAAATCCCCTCATCCCACCTTACCTCCCACACCTACACACCCTTCATCCTCTACTGACATCCCTTACCTTTGCAAACTTAACCCTACCTTAATTCCCTTATATCCAAACACTCATCCTACCTTTTTTCACTCACCTACGCCCCCTCATCTCACCTTATCTCCCTCAGCTAAACCCCATCATCCTACCTTTACCTCCTTACCTACACAACCCTACCCTACCTAACCTCCCTCACTTACACCTTCTGATCACCTTCTGATCCCATATTTCCTCCCTTACCACATTTACTACCATAACTCACACCCCCATCCCACCTTACCTCCCTCTCATACACCTACTTATTCCACCTTACTTCCCTCACCTAATCCCTCCTTATTCTATTTAACATTACTACACTCCCCTAATCCCACCTAACCTACTACACCTAAACCCCCTCATCTCACCTCCCTCACGTACACCCCTCATCCTACCTTACCTCACTAACCTAAATCCCCCTGATCCTAACTTACCTCCCTTACCTAAATTTCCTCAACCCTCCTTACCTAATTTACCAATTAATCCACCCTTACATACCCCCTCATACCACCTAACTCCTTTACCTATTACCTCCTTAATGTACCTGACGTCCCTCACCTACACACTCTCACCATCCCTTAACTCAACTCCACTCCCTCATCTCACCTTACCTCCTCAACCTACACCTCTCTTATTCTACCTTTCCTCCCTACAACCCCCAAATTTCAGCAAACCCTCCTCACCTAGGACCCCCCTCACCCGACCTTAAGTCCCTTATCTACATCCCCCTCATCCCACCTTTCCTCTCTTGACTTCACCTCCTTATTCCACCTTACCTTCCTTACCTAAACTCCCTCAACGCTTCTTACCTCCTATACCACATTACCCACCTTCACCTACAGCCCCTCATACCACCTTACCTCACTGACCTACACACTCTCAAATACCTTACCTCTCTCACCTACTCCCTTATCCTACCTTACCTCTCTTACCTACACCTCCTCATCCTACCCTAACTTGCTCTTCTACTGCCCCTCATCCAGCCTTTTTTCTGTCACCTACCCTCCCTCATCTGACTTTCCTCAATCTTGCAATGAAAAAGTTTCAGAGTGAGTGCATTGGGCGATGCCTCCAAAATTGTAAAATAAACTTTCGAGAGTATAAGCAAAAAATTCATGTTTGACAAAGATAAAGCTCATAGTGTCACACTCTGCTGTGTTTCTCAGGCTGACTCTCACTCACCTCCCTGCCACACCTCCTCATCAGCACTGATTCCCCACACCTGTGAATGACAAGCTGCAGCTCCTCACTGCTGATTAGCCAGCCAGTATTTAAGTCACTCTGTGTCCCTCATTCAGTGCCAGATTGTCTTCGCAGCATGCACGACTCTCCAGCATTATTTCTTGGATTGACTTCTCGGTTTCGACTCCTGCTTGTCTCTGACCATGTCTTATCGTCTCAGCCCTTGGATCCCCTGTCAAGTTTCTTCGCTCCGGTGAGAACTTCAGGTTTCGCTGTGTTGCTGGCTTCCCAACCTACTGCCTGTCCACGACTATCCTTCCGTCTGATCTCTCTGGAATTAGTCTGCCCTGCTGATTGTCTGCCTGGATTGGACATTGCCTCCGCTTCGACCACGAGCCCAGCCACTCGACAGTGCCGCTGCACTTCACAAAGACTCTCAGGTGTAGTGTGTTTTCTGTGTGCACTCACCTCTCTGCCTGTTGGACCTGTTTCCTGTGGATCTGTTTCCTGTTGGTCATGGAGATTCTACAGAGACTGCTAAATCAATCCCAGTATCTTCAGTTACCTGTTTGCTGTGAACTGTTGCAAGAAAAGTAGCTTCTAAACAACTACCTGCCGTTGTGCTGCACTTGGGTCCTACATTCACACCCCCTTGACACATAATGCTAAACTACAGTATGTCAGAGAATACATGTCTTGTGAATTTAAGCGCATATTTAAAATAATTAAAAAAAAAAGGTCATGATATCTCTCAATGATTTATCAAAGCCATTGGTTGACTGCTTCAAATCAGTTTTACGCCGATATGAGACAGACTCTAAGACTCTACTTGATTTAACAAAGCCCATTAGTAGCAGGCAGTTTAATGCTTTTATTTCAAGAATTTATGATGCTGAGACACAGGCCTTTTGTAAATTCCTTGAGTACCAGTTGAGTGACATGAAGGACAGTGAGCTGAGAACCCTGTCCGCTGTCAAAGATGATGTAAATCTGATGACACCACTCATTACTGTCGATAATCGTGTAATGGATAAACCATTGACTCTCACTGATATCTCTCGGATTACTAGTTATGCTCCGTCACCGCTGAACAATCCTACAGCATTTATGAATTTGTGGACCACGGCATTAATGCATACATCTCTGTCCGGACGAGATGTTAGATACATTCTTGCCACACTAATGCCTCACATCAAGATAGATACTCTAATTGCGGAATGTGACACTTTACGGCACCGATATGATAGGCCAGTAGAAGGGGAGGAGACCATTGAAGGAAAATATCCCTGGTTAAGCAGAGACCGTAAAACTGAGCATATTGCTGAACTTACTAAATTCCTTGAAAAAAATGCAGCACAGGACCGGGACATAACGCAGGTCTTAAATTGTAAACGTAAACAGAATGAACCAATAGCTGAATATGCTTCTGGATTCTTGCAATGCTGGAAAGAGCAAGCCAAATTACAGATTAAGGAAGAAGAGGATCCCTTTTTTTGCCTCTATGTTTTTGAACGGATTGGATCAAAATGCTTCGTACACCCTTAGAGTGGCTGCACCCAATATTTATACCTCAGATCCTAATAGACTTTTGAAGAAAGTACGATAACTTGATGCCATAGGCCTCTTTGCAGCATCCAAAAATAAAACAAGCATTGCAACTGAGTACCGACGTAAAATAATCCGTCCATGCATTCCAACATGTACAACCGACCAGGGGCAGAGGAAATTTTAGACGTTACAGAGAGCAAGGGCCATTTGAAACCTCTCCGTACATAATGGATACTTTTCAGGTCAACCCGAAGGGTGAATATTTTCCCCCAGGGTGGAGAGGACGGGGACGAGGAAGAATGATGGACATGAATGATCGGTGCCTGTACTGTTATGAAGTTGGACATTGGGTAAAACAGTGTCCCTTAAAAAGGGCCCAAGGTTCACAATATGGGCCTATAAATCAAATGCCTCCCTATTATCCTCCTCATATGACCTCTGGTTTCTCTCCACAGACCAATACACAAAGGATGATATCTGGAAGTAATCCCACAACCCAGGGTCCTCCGGACAGAGGGGCGGCTTCTTCTCCATTGTGGAAGCAATAATATAACTTACAGTTGTGGGGCATGAACAGACTTGATTACTCTACAATAATTATAAATACTTCACAATTCCATGTTTCCAATGAACTAGCTGAGAACCTTAATTGAGTATGCAAGTTTCTGGTAAACCTATTAAGTTCCTAGTTGACACAGGGGCAACTACATCATGTTTTAAAAAAAAAAGGACTTAAGTTGTCCTTTGAGTAATCTCTCTGTTCAATCTGTCGGTATCTCTGGAGTCCCACAACTAGAGCCCCTGTCCGTTCCGCTGCCTGTTGATCTGGATGACATCAAACTGCAACATTCATATGTTGTTAGTGCTACAACACCGATGTCCTTACTGGGACGTGATATATTAAGTAAATTAAATGTGGTCATTACGTGTTCACTCGATTGTATTGAGGTTTATATTCCAGCAGACAAGACATATCAACTATTCTCCCATCTTGTTAAAGTGACACATAATGCCACCAGTGTTTTGACAAACTGTAATTTTATCTCTGACCTGTTTACTTTGACGAATATCAAAAAATTGGCATCTTGTCAGGCTGCTAGTGCGGTGTTGATCATACATTTAAAATCCATCAATATGCCCTTTTCTGATGAAGTAATTGAACCTACTGACTTGGAGGAATTTCCACAGCATTTTTTTATGTCTCCAAATGGTCTTGTACTCTTATGGAGGAACAAGAAACAGGTTATTCATTTTTTTTCTGTGCTGTTAGAACTGATTTTGGGGATACTGACCATCTTTTGATTTCCTGTCAAGACTATCTAAATAGGACACCTAACCAAATTGATCAAAACAAGGATTATATCATCTGGTTTTATGGTCTGGAACCTACGCATTTCTTTATCAAACTTTTGAAAACGGAAGACAGACCCTTGATTTCTCCAGTGGATCATAAAGAAATCCTGTTGCAACCGCCTTCGATCTTAGCGGCCGTACCTTCTAAACTTTGGGCTTTGCATGCAAATCATGTAGGATTATTGAATGTGCCACCATATCAGGCCAAAATTAATCCTAAGAAATACCCAGTGTTTGTTAAACAGTATCCTCTATCTAAAGAAAAAGAAGAAGGCATAAGACCGGTAATCAAAAGTCTTTTGGAGCAAGGGGTGATTGTTAAACGATGCTCCCAAAACAACACCCCAATAAATCCTATTCTTAAACTTGGAATTAACAGGTATAGATTCACACAAGATTTGTGGAAAATTAACGAAGCCGTAATTCCGATTGCCCCTGTAGTGCCTGATGTCAACTCCATTCTAACAGCTTTGCCCGCAAGTTCAAAATTCTATACAGCGATTGATTTATGCTCTGCCTATTTTTCAATCCCTGTACATGACGATACGCAGGATTTATTTGCATTTACGTATAAAAATGATCAATACGTTTGGACCAGATTGCCTATGGGATTTGTTGATTCAGCTGTTGTGTATTCAGCCACTGTTAATATGCACTTGTCTCAGTTAATCTTGCCATGTCGATTCTGTATTCTACAGTATTCGGATGACCTACTTCTTTGCTCAGAGACTGAAGGAGAATGCATTCAAGATTCTGTGGCCTTATTGACACATCTTGCTGATGGAGGTCACCGAGCATCACTTGCAAAGCTCCAATTCTGTCAGGAATTGGTCAACTACCTGGGCTGTGTTCACCAGCAATCGCGCCACCTGTTCTCCCTCCAAGCTACCCTCTAGGACATGCTACCCTGGGAGCCTCACAGCCCAAAGACCTCATCCCGACCGCCATCCACCACAGCACCCAACCAGGACTCAACCTGGACTGAAGTGATAACTCGAACTAGGAAAACCAATAACACCATCCCCTGGAACCCGGCCGGGCCTACCTCAACCTCCACGCCAAGCAATCCACTGCTCCGGTCCGAGATCCTCGCCGGCAGTGGGACGGATCCCTCAAACGGTGCCTCCACAGTCCGGTTGGCCCTCTCTAACCGCTTCGCGGCCCTTATGCATCCTCCTAAGCCCGACAGCACCAGCCCGAACCAGCCCCCTCTCCGCGGTGACGTGGCGGCGTACTCTACATCGGCTGCCGGAGCTCCCATGGCTCCTACACGGCCACCCGGCGGAGCCCCCGGACCTTCGTTCTCGTCCACCGATGTCTCCGCGGTGTGCTGGCCCGACGATCTTCTGGCGACCAGCTCCCGGGCGTCACCGGGCGCTGGTGGGAAGAACACCTCCCTGCCGGCATGCAGAGGGATTCCCGAGTGGCCTGGCACTGGCGGAAGGGACCCCTCTCCGTCGGTGCCTGGTCGTGCTCGGTCTCCAAGGAACCGCCTGGACCACCGCTCTGAGAGCCGGACCGCGTCCTCAGCCGCCCGCAGGAGGTTTCTCCAAGAGGCAGTCCGACGGAACTCCGCTGGGCCCGCCACCGCCGCCCCGGACCGAAATGGCAGACCATCCCCGCTGCCGCAGGCGTCCACCGCACCGCTGATTCCTCGCAGCCCGGCCATCAGCTCCACTTCGAGTTCAGGAGCCATGCAACCCCCGCCGCTGTTCCCACCCACCACCTTGATCGTCGGTGACAGTATCACACGAGGTATCCGTTTTTTCAACGCCATTACTCGTTCCTTCCCCAGTGCAACTGTCGTCGACATCACTTCAAAACTCCCCGGTCTTCTCCAGTCACTCCCTCCCTCTATCCACCGCATCATTGTTCACATCGGCACCAACGACACGGCTCACAAACAATCTGAACTGACCAAAAGGGACTTCAAATCACTTCTCCACATCCTTCAGTGCAGCGGCAAATCTGTTTTTATAAGTGGTCCGCTACCAACGCTAACACATAGCATTGATCGTTTTAGCCGCCTCCTCAGCCTGAACTCCTGGCTTCGATCATTCTGCAGCACCTCCTCCACCCACTTCATTGACAATTTTAATCTGTTCTGGAACCGATCCCCATTCTTCTCCCATGACGGACTTCACCCAAACAAACTGGGCTATTACACACTCACCGCTAATATCCAACACCATATTCACACCAACTGACTAGCATTGTTTACACTCTCCCTGTCATCCTCTTCTTCCTTGCCTGTCACTACCCCACCTGGAAACAGCGCCCTCCAGAGCCCCCCCTCCGAGACCCTCGCCCTCACCATCCCCACCACCGGCTCCCCCAACAGGCCCCAACTGGTACTGCACCCCAATCCCATCGCCTCCACTACAGCAAGCTCCCCCTCCCGACCCAAACTGGTACTGCACCCTCCAATCACAGAGACTCTCTGCCATTCTGTTATCTCACCAGGATCTCGCCACAGCTCTTTCATTCAAACAATCACAACTACTAGATCCTCCTGCTCAAATCCCATGCATGCAAAACAAAGGACAAGAAATCAAACAAACCTCCACTGCCTTCCCCCTGCCTCACTGCCCACCCCACAGCCCCCTCCCCTAAAGGTGGCCCTTCAAAACACCCGCTCCCTCAACAACAAAGGACACATCATGGCTGACTTTTTAACAGACAATAACCTGGACTTCCTCTGTTTAACCGAAACCTGGCACAATCATCTCGATCTCTTCCCACTAAACCAAGCCACGCCCCCCCGTTACTCCTACCTGCACCAACCCTCCTCACTGGACGAGGCGGTGGCGTAGCATTCATCCACAAGCAGACCCTCAAGACCACCCCCATCCCCACCCCGTCTGTCCACTCATTTGAACACATAACTGTCAAACTCCCTGGCCCCACCCCACTGGTCATTGTCACCATCTACCGCCCTCCAAAGCCCCACCCATCATTCCTTTCTGATTTCTCTGAACTGGTCACCCAACTAAGTACCATCTCATCCTCTGTCCTGTTACTTGGAGACTTCAATTTCCACATCGACAACCCTACCTGCAAACAAGCCTCTGATTTTCTGGATCTACTCGACACCCTCAACCTCACCCAGCATGTACACTCCCCCACCCACTCCCACGGCCACACCCTCGACCTCGTCTGCTCTACCGGCATCTCCATCCACCATCTCTCCACCATCAACCTCTACATATCTGACCACCTGGCCGTCACTTTCAGTATTGACCCCCCCCCCCCCCCGCTTCACAGTGAAAAACGACTCATCTCCTTCAGAAACCTCAAATCCATCTCGCCACAGGACATCTCCGCTTCCCTATCTACTACCCTCACCGCATCCCCTCCCCCACCTCCTGCCGAACTTGCTGACCTACTCAACTACTACAATAACACTCGATCCTCCTGCCTGGACCAGCTTGCACCCCTCAAAACAAGAACAGTTTCATTTAGACATTCCGCCCCCTGGTTTACCTCAGAACTGCACAAAATGAAATCTCACAAACGCCAACTAGAACGTCTCCACCACAAAACCGGCCTCACCATCCATCTCTAAGCCTACACTGACCACCTCCACCTATACAGAACAGCCCGCTCATCCTATTACTCCAACCTCATCCACTCCGGCTCCAGCAACCAAAAGACTCTTTTCACCACAGTCAAAAAACTTCTCCACCCCATAGACACCATCTCCACCACCTTCACCCCGGAAAAGTGTAACTCATTCCTCTCATCTTTTCAAACCAAAATCAACACAATCTACAACTCCCTTCCCCCACCTTCCATTCCCAGCTCCTCCCCTCCTCCCCTCCTCCCCTCCTCCCCTCCTCCCCTCATCCCATCAGCACTCTCCCGTTTCTCACCTGTTTCTCCAACCGACGTGACCAACATCATCTGCTCCATGTCATCATCCACCTGCATCCTGGATCCCATCCCATCCTCCCTCATCAAGCACTGCCTCCCCGTCATCTCTCCCATCATTACACAGATCATCAACTCCTCCCTCAACTCTGCCACTGTTCCCCCTTCACTCAAACTGGCCGCTGTCACCCCCATCCTCAAAAAACCTGGACTCAACCCAGACGATATCAATAACTTCTGGCCCATCTCCAACCTCCCTTTCCTGTCGAAAATCCTGGAATGAGTCATTGCATCACAGATCAAAGCCCACCTCAACAATAACAATCTTTATGAACTGTTTCAATCAGGATTCCGCACCCACCACAGCACCGAAACTGCCCTCATCAAAGTCACAAACGACCTCCTCATTTCTGCTGACTCCGGCCAACTCTCCATCCTCATCCTCCTTGACCTCTCCGCCGCTTTTGACACCATTGACCACGCCATCCTCATGTCCCGCCTACACTCCCTCCTTAATATCACAGACACTGCTCTCAACTGGATCCATTCATATCTCACAAACCGGAATCACTTCATCAACATCAACAACTGCTCCTCCACAACTGCCCCCATGTCCCAAGGTGTCCCCCAGGGTTCGGTGCTTGGTCCTCTCCTCTTCATCATCTACCTCCTTCCTCTCGGCCACATCCTCCGTCAACACAATCTCCATTTCCACTGCTATGCTGATGACATTCAATTGTACATCTCTTCCACCTCCATCACCCCCCAGACCCAACGCTTCCTCTCAAACTGCCTCACTGATGTAAAAAACTGGATGGACAGCAACCTTCTAAAGCTAAACTACAGCAAAACAGATCTCATCATCATTGGCCCAAAATCCCTCACCTCCACAGTCACAGACTTTCATCTCTCCATTAACAACTCCACCCTCTCCCCCTCCCCCCACTGTCGCAACCTTGGTATTCTCTTTGACAGCAACCTCACCTTCACACAGCATGTAAAGCAAATCACCAAAACAGCCTACTACCACCTCAAAAACATTGCCCGCCTCCGCCCCTCCCTCTCCTACTCTGCAGCCAAAACACTCATACATGCATTCATCTCATCCCGTCTAGACTATTGCAACAGTCTCCTCCACGGCACTACCTCCACTCTCCTCAATAAACTTCAGCTCATCCAGAACTCTGCCGCCCGCCTCCTCACCCATACACGCTCCAACCAACACATCACCCCCGTCCTCCAGAACCTTCACTGGCTCCCCATCCCCCATCGCATACCCACCCCCCCCCCCCCCCCCCCCCCCCCCCCCCCACCCCCGCACCCGTCGCTCCGCCGATGCCAAGCTCCTCACAGTTCCCTCGACCAAGCACCGAACCTGGGGGGACAGAGCATTCTCAGTCACCGCCCCCACCCTATGGAACTCACTCCCACTGGACCTCAGAAACTGCTCCAACCTTACCAGAGTCAAAACCCAGCTCAAAACTCACCTTTTCTGCACTGCTTTTCATCAACCCTGGACTAAGTCACTTCACTCTTAACTAAAACAATAAAAAGAAACCTACACCCCCATGTAGAAAAAAAACAATGAAATCAATGAACTAAAAAGAAAATGCAGGAGTGCTGAGAGAAGATAGAGAACAAGCTAATTAACAATTCATTATGGGATTTTACGTCAACAACTCAAAACCTACAAAAATGCAGTCAAAAAGGCACATATTTCCAATTTCTCACAACTCATCACCGCCCATCAAAACAATCCCCGGCTCCTCTTCTCCACTTTTGATATTCTAATAGACACTAAATCTGATGAAGTTTTTAAGACACCAACATATGATCTTTGTGAGAACTTTGCAGACCACTTCAGAACCAAAATCAAGGACATCAGAGCCCTCCTTTTATCCCATCAAGTTTTATCTATTAACACACCTGAACTGTTGTCCTTGCCTGAGGAAACACTGGAGAGTTTTGCACTGGTTATTGCAAGGACACTTGGTCAAGTTTTCTCCCGAGTAAACCCAACAACCTGCCTTTTAGAAACAATACCCACATCACTCTTAAAATCATTTTATGGATTCTTTAAGGAACAGTTTTTAAACAACATGAATTGCTCTCTTCAGACTGGTGTCTTCCCAACTGTATCATCTCAACTGGATAACAGACTCCATGAATGAGGACAGATGCACCGTGATGTGGGTTCAAGTTTTAATTTCTCAACACACACACCACAGACACCGTAAGAGCTGAAATAAAATATAAAGCACAATTACACTCACACATTTTCATCCGGGCGCACTTGCTAATCACATACACAATGCTGGCAAACCGGACAATAAATCAATTAACACGTGAACAGCCCCCACAAAGATACCTTTGCACCATCCAGTTAAGTGCTACTACAACAATTTTTCCGTCCTTTCCATGACGTGGATCCGTGTACAGTACTTGTAACAACTCCTTCTTCTCATCGCATGTCTTTTTCGTTTATTGTGATCAATCAATCAAAAGAACAAACACGGACCACGTCCTGGCCCTTTCAGAATCAAAATAAGTGCCGGATTTGCGCGCCTTCAAAATAAAAGCACTCGAAACTCAAACACTGTAACACACATACTAAACTACAAACAGGTAGACACAAAAGTGTTATGCAGGATGGTTCCCCTTTGTAAATTAACAAATATGGGTCATTTACACCAACCGCCTTTAAAATGGCAGTGGTGAAGCCCCTTCTGAAGAAAAGCAATTTAGACCCCGGCGTTATTAACCCATTTAAACTGGGAAAGCATTAACACATTTTAACCTTCCGAGCCGGTGGCGCTGCCGCGCATTTCTACCCTTCACCGCATCCTGTTGTAACATTCTGTGATTTTTCAATCATTTCTGGAGTCGTGGCAAATCAAATCATCATACCTATCTGCCTCTGAAAGGCTAATAAAGCTTAAGTGATCAGATTCATGCTCGGATCTTGCTACGTGCTTCGTGAGGAAAGTAAACAATAACGGATAGAGAGCAGCTTCGGAGGAGAAGCATCCAGCCTTAGCGAAGATGGTGATATTATCCCTCTCCTTCTCCTGCTTCGGTGGCCAGTGGAGCCACAACTCCCAAAGCATGACTTCGGCAAGATTTTTCAGAAGAGAAAGGCTTGCAGGGAGAGTCAACTTCTCCCTGAAAATGAGAGAGCTGGTGGACCACCAGTTAATGGCTGTAAACAACTTCTTCATATTGAGTGCTTTGGCTCACACTATCAGCGTTTTCTGTGAGTGTTACATGACTTTGGGTGAGCACAGAGATGAACACACTGTCAGCCACTTATTTATTTATTTAGTTTTTAGTGCTGCTTTTGTACTGGCACTATACTAGGGCAGCTGCATACCCTTTCAACACTTTATTTTTTATATTTACATTTGGACTGAATGGACACTTTATCATGACTGCCACTTGTTTTACAGAAAGCAAATAGTTTGTTATTCTCCAGTGCAGAGCCTTTACTTTTAATTATACAGCCGCTTTATTTGCAGCACACGTCTTTATCAGAGTCGACAGCTTTGTAGAGTAATGTGGCTCTAAGCCAATTTACTGCTGATTAGGAGTCATTAATGTGCTGGCTTGCATGTTTAAGGTAAATAATGTTTTCTACATTTTAAGAGTCAAAAGTTTGTGTTCACATCCATGAACATTTATATTCCCCTTTGGTTTTGCTGGATATTCTTTTTGGCATCACTTAAACCTTTGTCAGTATTTCCCTCAGTTTCTGTTCTCCTTGTTAATGTCCCGGTATGCTTGGTCACACCAGCACATGCACAGGTAGTGTCCTGAATAAACTCCAATTTAAATATAAAGTCATGAGACGGTCACTGCTGTGAGGATTGTGTTTTGATGGTAAGCACTCTACTCGTAGAGTTAGGCTTAGTGTTTGAAGATCAAAGTGGAAATCTCTTCAGTGTTTCATGCAAATGTGTTATACAGATTCAACATTACACCATTTTGACTGCATGCACTTCACACAGACATCAGTGAGGCTAAAAATGTTAGCAATAAGGCCAGTGTAATAACTACACATACAGCTATACTGCAGTTGATATGTACTCAGGAACCTACTCTCACATTTTGCAGACTGGAGGACTTGTGATGCCCAGTCTTCTAGTGTCCGCAGATCACCTGGCCAGTTCATGTGACAGTTTGCCAGCGATTTAGCCAGGCTGTGTTGACCGCTCACGGTGATTTGTCCTGCCCTCCTTGCCAAACATGCTTATCCAGAGCCCTAAGTCTATATGAACCAGGTTGGACTGGATTAGTCATGTAACCGTCGATCCATGGTAAAGGGGCATGCTTATTTTCCTGCTGCCTCTTATCAGCTCCATGTTCACACAAATATCCAACTCCTGTTTAAAAAAAGTCTTGTACACACATCGTTTTCAAACATCCACACAAAACTGCCTAAATGTGCTATTGACCACGGTAATGAGCATGCCAGACCTGGGGCCTCATTTATCAACCGTGCGTACGCACAGATGTGTGCGTAAAGAGTGCGTACGAACATTCCCACGCAGAGTCTGGAATTTATCAACCTGTACTTGTGCTTAGGAACGTGCGTAAATTTAAGCACAACTCTGACCATGCGTACACACAAAACCTAGTGGTAGGACAGTAAAACTACAAATAGAACCCATTAAAGGAGTCACAGCGTTCCGCAATCTCAAACTTCACACATGTTCCCATTGCCTCTATACAAAATTTATCAATTAGTAATTTAGCAGACATTTTGAATGATTGGTGAGACAAGCTATAAAAATCTGCTGTGACAGGACAACCTCAAAAGAAGTCTTACAAGTACAAATATAAGTATCATGGTTTATTTTGCGCTATTGGAGGACTTGGAGAAGCGTCTGCTCCTCCGCAGGGAGCGCGTTTTCAAAGACCGTGTTGATCTGTTCAATGAGAACTCAGAGTGGATTCTCAGCAGGTACAGCTTCCCCAAAACATTTGAATGGATTTACGCCGTGATTTACTACCCGTGTCGGAGCGAGAAACAAAATGCACCAAAGCCATCCCAGCGCACATCCAGCTCCTGTCCACCCTAACCCGAACATTTCAGCATGAGATTTGAGACATATGCGATATTTCGCAGCCAACGCTAAACAGAATCATGCCGGCAGAGTTGGATGTAATAATTTCTCCGGCCTCAATTTACATCCAGTTCCCAAACACACATCAGCAACAAGCCGAAATAAAACGAGGATTTCACGCCATCGCCGGATTCCCAAACATAATTGGAGCCATAGATTGCACCCACATTGCAATAAAAGCACCTTCACACAATAAATTCAGATTCGTCAACAGGAAAAGATTTCATTCAATCAATGCGCAAATAATCTGCGATGCACATTTGATTCTGTTAAACGCTGTTGCCCGGTGGCCTGGAGGAACGCACGACTCATTCATTCTGCAGAACAGCGCTGTGAGTGTGCACCTCCAGGAGGAGGAAAAACATTCCTACACGCATTTTTAAAGGGATTGTTGATGCCATATATGGTCAATTGGAGGCGTTCCTGAATGCAAATGACTCTAACCATGCACGAGCACGGTAGTAAAGAACAGGTGGGATTTATCATCACCGATTACTTATGTGTGTGCGTACGACCGGTGTCCGCACGTTTGATAAATATGGATTTTTTTGTACTTACGCACATTCTAAATTTAATTCCTACGCGAGAATTTAGAACCTTTTCTTTTCTTTGATAAATAAGGCCCCTGGAGTTGGTAGTGACAAAAAGTTAGACCCCTTTCTATCCAATCAGAGCAAGCTTTCCTTTCTTTTGGTCACTTCCTAAACATGAAACATAGCGCCGTGTTTGTTCATGTGGACTGACAAAGAAAAGGAATAGCTTTTTAGCATCGTTTTGGAGTATAAAGTCAACAAGGCACAAGAAAGGTGGAGGAAGGGTTATTTGGTGCAGAATAACCAACTACAAAACGCTCCTTCTCCTTTGCTCCTCACAAAAATCTACATTCTGTCTTTATATTCTGTATATAATTTTTGCTCGATTTTTAAATTATTTTTCTTGTCATTTTGTTGGCTGCTGATGGATACTTCTGCTGGGTGAAGAGTTTACTCAAGAAAAGAGCTCCTTTCATTGAAGAAAAGCAAACAACAACATACAATCCCAGAGGACATCAGGAGGTGTTATCATAGTTGCCGTGCTGGTGCAAAGGTAAAGGCAAAGCTGAATGCCAGGAGGTGGTGATATTGAACCTTTCATTCATCAGATTGAGGAGACAAGGGCCCAGTCTCAATGTTCTCACTCCCACACTCGCTAACTTTAAGGCTCGTTGCTGCAAGCCTGTGAGAACTTACGGCTGTCCCACTGTTCAAGTGCATGAGAGATATCAGGCAGACAATTTGAGCCATTTATGCACACTTTCCATAGGTGGGTATCTCTGCAGACTTTGGACTCTATTCTCGTGTCTCGCTGATGGTGTGGCGTAGGCGCAGCATAAGTCTGGTCCGCTGCGCTGATGAGGCATATTTGGTGAGCGATGCAGCCCAGGGTAAGTATTCCCCCTCCCTAACTCAGCTCCTCCAAGCAGCGTAAGTAACAGAGAGGTAGGGGAGCAGGCGTGGAGAAGGTTTAACACAGCCAAGTCCTTTTTTCACCAATCACATCAGCTCCTCACCTCACCTTTAAACCCACCACCGGCGAGGCGTATGACAGTTTTCGTGAGGTAGTTGGAGAGATCAAGAGATGGCTGAAGACAGCAATGCCACACGATGCTGACAGGAAGCAGCCCCTCAACAAGTGTCGCAGAAAGAGCAGTGAGGGGCATCATCCACACTCTCTCAAATACGCACAGAGGGATTTGGTGTGTGTAAGGTTGGACCCACTGGTAAGACAAACATCCTTTTCCACAAATAAAGACACTCACATCAAGTTGTACATATTTAAACCCCACATGACAAAGGTGGGTTGTGTGCACAGATCACAACATAAACAAATGCCAATAATGGCATTCAAATCAGAACCCCCTGTGCATGAAGGACGCATTACGCTCCTTGGCTGGCTCTAAAATAAAAGAGGGTAGCTAAAATAAAGAATGCAGAAGGCATAGCATCAACACTTAAAAGTAAGTTTGTCTGTAAAATAAATAAGAAATATTTCCACCTGTTCTGCTCACCTGTTTTTACCTCCATAAAATACTGAGAAGCTCATCCATGATGAACTGAAAACACATTTATCTCCTTATTTAAGGGGTTTATTCACACTGCAGCACCAAAACCAAGTGTCTATCTACACTGTCTCAAAGTCTGCAGGCAGACTACAGAGATAAATCTGGCATTAACTACTTTGCCTTTCATTTACCTTTCAGCATTATTAATGCGAATCGGAAAATGTTGATGTGAAACATTTATATCACACTGCCCATCTATATTTAGAAAGCAGAGAGGAAATTTATTCATTTTCCATATGTTGTTTCAGTAAAAAAAAAAAAGTTAATAAAGTTCACACATAAAGTATTTCTGCTTTTTTAATGCCACTATGGTAAGCAACATGATATTGTTGTCAGTGTTTTTGAGAAGTCACAGAGTGCTGTCCCATTATAGCTTTTGGAGCCCTTGCAGCCTCATGCACTTCATCTCTTTCTGGGTGAGGTCTCAGCCACATTTGTAAGCCTGAAGTAACTGAAATATGTAAATATATGTCAAAATATATCAATCCAGACATTTCATCATAATATAACTATGCTGATTGTGAAGCATTCAATCATAAATGAAGGTTTTCTGAGAAATAGGAACAGGCATGTCCATGTTCAAATGGAAAGCTTGACCTCTCACCACAAGACATTTAAATGTAGCACTTTGAGGACCTGCAGGTCTTATCTCTCACAATGCAAGTTTGCAATGCACGAAAAAGCTACCCCATTATTACTTGATGTTGTTTTGCTCTGAATCCCTAACTGTTTAATGTTGATTTCTCAGGGTGATATTTTATTTCATGTCAAAGCGATGCGAATACTAGTGGCAGGATGGAAAAAAAGAGATGGATCAACATTCACTCATTCACTCACACATCTCATTAACTCAAACACACAGCACTGCTCAATCCTGCGCTTAATCATCATGTCGGAAAATAGGTCTTAAGTCAGTGACTTAGGGTGGACAATGAGACTGGACTTTGCCCTGGTGTTGGGTGCTTGGTTTATGAAAAAGTGTTTCCCGCACACAGATCAGGCATGTTGTTATCATGATGTGAATTTTGATTTTAGCTCCTTGAGGTTGAGACTCAATTTTTAATGCAAATGCTGCAGTTATAAAAAAAGAGTTGAGTAATGTCTACAAAGCAGCAGACTGGATCCTCCCAAGCAGCAGCCACGATGCAGCAGAGAAAACCACAAAGCCAATGTCTCACTGAACCCTCCACCTCAGAGCTGAAGCCACTGCTCCAGATGGCAAAGCCTGCTGACATTTGGCCATCACTATTCTGTGTCCATTTTTGATAAACTCCAAGACCAGCAGTTTACATGAGTCCACAAATGTCATCAAATGTCATGGAAATGTCAAGGACTTTGACTTGAAGATGGGTACATGTGCAGGAAAATGAATATGCTTGAAAAGCCACTTCCATTGAAGTTGGGAAATTGTGATAAATGTGAATAAAAATAGAATACGATGATTTGCAAGTCCTTTTCAACATATATTCAATTGAATACACTACAAAGACAAGATATTTAATGTTCAAACTCATAAACTTTATTTTTTTTGCAAATAATAATGAACTCAGAATTTCATGGCTGCAACATGTGCCAAAGTAGTTGGGACCGGGGCATGTTTACCACTGTGTTACATCACCTTTCCTTTTAACAGCACTAAATAAATGTTTGGGAACTGAGGAGACTAATTGTTGAAGCTTTGAAGGTGGAATTCTTTCCCATTCCCATTCTTGCTTGATGTACAGCTTCAGTTGTTCAATGGAATTGGGTCTTGTAGTTTTATCATGTATTTGATATTTTCCCCTTAGTTTTAACAGAATTAGAGGGCCGTTCTGCAAAATACACAAATCCTTCCCATCTAAACTTGACATAAAGCAAGTATCAGAGCAAATGGCAAACCAACAAAGGCATCAATAGGAACGACTCTACCCATAACTTCATATGAGCCTCTGTGTGTATTTCTTTGGTAAAGTAAAATACAAATCAGCGACACTAAGAGGCGGACGTGGGAGAGAAAAAAAACAGACCCAGCAGAAGAGGGGTGGGGGTGTATAATGAGTATCTCTCTTTCCCTTGCTTTCATCTAACTAGGCTAACATGATGAACTAGTCACCCTCTTCCCTTCCAGCCTCCATCGCTCTAGTTACCTCCTTATCCAGAGCACAAACCAGGTCTGGCACTGCATGATAGATTCATGGAGAGAGCAGGAGACAGAGCTGGAGTGGATGTTCACTCTGTTAGTGCAGGATAAAAAAAAGTGGGTTTTGTCCTGTCGTGTTTCATTTCCCCCATCAGCTGCTGTGAGCAGGTATGGATTTTGTAGTTCAGAGTCGGGGTGCTTTAATTTCAATCCTTGTGGAACCATTTTGGGATTTCTTTCTAAATTGGACAAGAAACCACACTGATTAACTGAGTCCTTTCTTATGGTGCTCCTCTGTTATGAACCATATCTTGGTAGTGGGAGTTTTACTCGGACAGAGGGCAGTGTGTGTGGTCTGAGAGAAATCTTCAGTCTGGGTGGATTGACACATATATTGATTTTCCCTGGAGTCTCCTGGGTTTATCAGAAAGGGCCCAGGTGGTAACACCTGACGACCACTAACACACACATAAATTCACCCAAACGCAGACACGGACAACATAATTGACACTTACTATACTTATTATATATCCCCCAAATCTGGATATTGTATACAGTTTTTCACATAAATACAAATGCACAGATTACAGTAGCTTTGGTTTTTGCGTGCAGGATGACATACAAACAAATTTCATAGGGAAAAGCGTGTCAAACATTATTGGAGTTTTTTAACAGTGGCAGCTAAACCAAATAAATAGAATAAGCTAAAGATGTCTTTTAGTTGTTTGATTTTCTGTAGGCAGGCAAAAACTGCATGCAGGGCTGCGTCGTGGCACAGCAGGTAGTGCATGTACCTCACAGCAAGAAGGTCAATGGCCTGGGTGAGGCAGGGCCTTTCTGTGTGAAGTGTGCATGTTTTTCCCATGAATTCATGGGTTCTCTCCAGGCACTCTGGCTTCCTCCCAAAGACCAAAAACCTGCTCATTAGGTGAATTGGTGACTCTAAATTGTCACTTGCGCTGTAAAGGTGTGAGTGTAAGCGTGACTGGTTGCCTGTCTCTCTATGTGGCCCTGCAACTGACTGGTGACCGATTCAGGGTGTACCCCTCGTGCCTGATGAGGGTCTACCCTCTAGCGCGATGAGGGATAAGCAGTATATTAGATGAATCAAAAACTGTGTGCAGCTTGATTATTTAGACAAATCAAGGTATCTGCAGAACAGGTGAACAAATCTTGAAATCTGACCAGGATTAGGGTCCATAAAAGCTAACTAGATCATCCCCAATTTTAAGTGTGTATCTGTGACCATGTTCAGTGGTCACAGTGCTTCGCCCTCACCTCCTGTATAACTATTGAAACAAGGCAAGGATCCTTGAGATGCAGTTCTGAAATAGCAGTCCTGAAACTGCAGTTTCTGGCTCTACAAACATTTAAAGAGGAGAAGGATCAGATCATCTCTGGCTCTCTCCACTCCACCCCCAGCGCCTCTGGATGTCCCTCCTCCTCCTTGCCTTGTTGTGTCGCTGCTCTTAGCCCCCTGTGGCCTCATTATCACACAGACTGAAACACAGCAGACATATCTGATAGCAAGTACAATCACACACAGTCGACCTTTTGCTACTAACACACACACATACACACACACACACACACACACACACACACACACACACACACACACACACACACACAGAAAGAGAGAGAGAGAGAGAGAGGGAGAGAGAGAGAGAGAGAGAGAGAGAGAGAGAGAGAGAGAGAGAGAGAGAGAGACTGTGGCATCATAAAACAATGCTCAACTCAAAAATCTGAGTAATTTATATACACTGAACAAAAATATATACGCAACACTTTTGTTTTTGCTCCCATTTTACATGAGCCGAACTCTAAAGCCGTGTTCAGACCAAACGCGACCTGACGCGACTTGGCGACGGCTCCCAATGCAAAGTCTATGGCCAGCCGCGACCTGACGCGACTTGGCGACCGCCGGCTTCCTGCGACGCGACCATGCGCAACCGGGCGACCAGGTCGCGCATGGTCGCGTCGCCGAGGTCGCGTCGCCGAGGTCGCGTCGCCGAGGTCGCAGGACGCCAAGTCGCGTCGCTCCCAAAGTTCAAATATTTGAACTTTGGGAGCGACTAGCCGCGACTCCGTGCTGCGACAGCCAATCAGGGCTCTGCTGACGTCAACAAACCGGCGAAGCAAGGAGGAGGAGGGGAAAATCAAAAATCAAACAATGGAGGAACAGTTTATTACGGCGGTAAGCTTTCACCCGGTCCTGTACGACGTGGGGTGCGGACTGTACCGGGACCGCACCTCCAAGGACGAGGCATGGGTGAAGGTGGCCCATGATGTCGGGCTTTCTGGTAAGTTTGTTTGTGTATTTATTTCAGTGAGCGGACAGTTTTATGAAAACATAGCTAACTGCCCCTGTATGCTAGGCTACATGTTTCAACGTATGTGTGTGTGTCTTTGCAGTGGATGTGTGCCGCAAGCGGTGGAAGGGGCTGCGGGACGTTTATTTGAGGGAGAAAAGGAGGGAGAAAGAAGGCGGGAGAAGCGGGTCGGCGGCCTCCCAGCAGAGGAAGTGGCGTTTCACTGCGGTGATGTCCTTTCTCGACCCCTTTATTGCCCCGAGAGACACATCAAGCAACATGTCTCGGGAGGTCGAGGAAGACTTCACCGCAGAAGATGTTGCTTCTTCTGCTGGGATGCCTGAAGACCTGGAGGAAGCAGGCCCCTCAGGAGTGGAGTTTGACGGTTGGTTGATGAGTGAAAAACATAGCAAATAAATTTGAGTCCCCTCATGGTTTAAACACACCATTGTAGTCTAATTTAAGATGGACAGATCAAGTCATGCACATGTAATGTGTGAACATTTTTTATTTGAATAACAATGTTGCCTGATTGCAGAGTTTTGATTTCAGACATTTTTGTCACAACTTTAACTAAAGATAAGCCTGCTCCCTCTCCTGCTTCAGCTCCCTCTCCTGCAGCAGCTCCCTCTCCTGCCCCAGCTCCATCTCCTGCTTCAGCTCCCTCTCCTGCCCCGTCAACTTCTCCTGCTCCCTCAACTGCGGCAGGTGATGCCTCGGGCCCCACTGCAGCCAGGCCAAGAGGTATAGAAATTAAATATTAACCATATATTCAATGAAATTGCTCAAGGTCACATAGAAATTATAAAACAAATAGTAACCGATTAGTTTTTTTTTATGACAGGGAGGAAGAGGAGGACGCCTCCCTCCTCACGACTGGAGGAGATTGAGGAGCTCCTCTGTCAGGCCCTGAGGAGGCAGCAGACTCCCCCTCCACCACCACCACCACCACCACCCACATCTCGCTATACCGAGGAGGAGCATTTCCTCCTAGGCCTGGCTCCTTCCCTCGCGAGGCTGTCACCCCAGGCTAAGGAGCAAGTGAAATTTCAAATTTATAAATTAATTTTTGAAGCTCAGGATTTCACACTGAATTTGGAACCAGTGGAACCTTAGCTGGGGTGACAGCCTCGGGGGGGAACGAGCCAGGCCCCTCTGTTTCAGCCATGCCCCCCATCCAACTTGTAAATTTGTGTATATAGTTGAAATTTTTTATTGTATTATATTTTTATATCTGCTGTTGCAGCCGTTCAAAAATTTGTTTTATTTGTTGTTATAAAAAGTATTATTGTTACATTATTATTGTTATATTTGTTGTTATAAATATTGTTATTATAAAGTTTTCTCAACTTTAACATGCAGTCATGAAGTAAAATAACTAGGTTGCAGTGCTTCGATGTATAAACTTTACTTAACCCTTGTGCACCCCTTAAAATGTAATGACACCGTTACTGTTGTCTGGGCTAACAAATTAATAATAATAATACTGATCTTGTGGAATGATATGGACTTATTGGGTCTGAAATAAAGTTAGAAAATAGATAGTTAGATAGATAGTAATTTCAGCATGTAGGTAATCTGTGTTTGAAATATTACCATCTTGATCATGTCATGTTGACAATAGTTTGTTGACACAAAAGAAATGGCAATTGCATATCACTTTCCCCTACACAGGACACTCGTTAGCTTTCAATTAGTACTTAGTTTTTTCACTTTACATTAATTTCCATATTGTATAAGGGACTGGAAAAAAAATTGAGCCCCTGCCCCTGTATAATCATGTGCATGTCCCTGTACTGGCTCCAAGGTTAATCTTCACTGCTCATGTTGTCCTCAGAAGCACTCACCTCACTCCCCTCAGGTGACTGTACATGCAGCAACTGCCTGCTTCAGGTTTAGATGGCGCTTCATGGTTGTGTTTTGGAGAAATGACCAGCCAAGTTGTGTTAAAAATTTAAATTTTTCTAGGGCAAAAGGAAGCCTCCGCATTCCTATCGGATATGTAAATAGCATGTTTTTGCAGGTGCATAAAAAGGGTCTGTGTGTGTGTGTGTGTATCTTGCAGTACTCTGAGCAGAATGAGAGGCAGGACACAGACACAGTTATGGAGACATTCTTGTACATATATGTAAGACATTTGCTCAACAGTTGTTTGTGGTGGCTCTGAAAAGAACCGTTGTGGGGGTGCAGTGCACTAGATGGAATCCTGCCATGAGACCGCTCCTTCAGCTGAGAAGTGCTCGGTGAAGGACTGCCTGACTGCGATGGCCTCCCGGGACGGGTTGTTTGAAGCGACACGTCCCAGCCCTGCCTGAGGCTCCTCACCACCTGTGATGGCACCCAACCCCATGGCAGCTTCAGGCTGAGACCTTCTCAGGAAGTTATGAAGGACACAGGTGGCCTTCACACACTTCTCTGCAACATCTGGAGAAACCTCAAGGGCACGTCGGTACATCCTCCACTGAGTGGAAAGAATGCCGAAGGCATCTTCAACCACCAGCCGCGCCCTGGACAGCCGGTAGTTGAAAATGCGCTTCTCTCTGGGGAGGATGCGCCCTGGATACGGCCTCATGAGGTTTCTCCGGAGCGGGAAGGCCTCATCTGCAACAAACACATGAGGTTGGGGTCCCCTGTGTTCAGCTTCAGGCAGTGACCGATCCGGAGGCAGCTGGAGGGAGCCAGAACGTAGGGCCTGACCAAACGCAGAGTTGGCCAGAATCCCCCCGTCACTGGTCCTCCCAAAGCCTCCGACATCGATCACTCGGAAGCAATAACTGGCATCTACAACTGCCAAAAGAACAATAGAAAATGTTCCCTTGTAGTTATATAACTGAGATCCTGAATTGGCAGGAGCCTTCAGAACCACATGCTTCCCATCCACAGCACCACAACACAAGAGGAAGTTCCACCACTCCTCAAAACCCTGTGCTATGGATCTCCACTCATCACAGGTGGGCACAGCCATGAAGTCCTCCACCAAGCACTCCCAGATGCAGGACACGGTGTCTGCCACGATGCCCGACACGGTGGAAACTCCAACCCGGAAGCTGTATGCGATGGTCCTGAAGGAGTCTCCAGTAGCCAGGAACCTAAAGCACATAAAAATTAATTTCATTACAAATTTTATTTAAAATATGAGGCCATATGAAATAGAAACGTAACCGAAGATTTGAGTGTCCATAAATCCTCTTTGACACAAACATTTATGCTAGCACCCAGTGTATCTGGTCATTTTAAAGTAATTGATTTCCAGGTAATTTTTTTACTGTATGTATTGAATGTGTTAAGGGTTAATTTTTTTCAGTGTAACTTCTTACTTTACTGAGTGGATCAAATAAAGGACACAGACCAATCCTGTTTACTTCTTCAGCAGCACCTTATCAGTCTGATCAGATAGGATTATTTTCACAGGAGTTATATTATCTGTCTTTAGTAAATTGATCAGATTCACAGAATTTCTAAATCACATTAGTGTGTGCAAGAGAAGTTTTATTTTGACTGGATATTAAAGGACAGAGGCAAAGAGCAGCTCACAGGAGGAACTCAGTGTACAGAAAGCTGATAAACTTTGCAGTTTTGCCTTATTTGACCAGTGTATCTGCTCATTTTAAATTATTTATACTTGATTATACTCACCGCAGACAGATAGACAGGCGCTCCGAAGCTGGAATGGAGCGCCTGTAGTTGGTGTCCTGGCGGGAGATGCTGCTTCCCACCCGGGCGAGGAGGTCCTCAAACTGCGCCGTCGACAAACGGAAATACCGCTGGAAACGGCCATCGTCGAGGCGGAGCTCCTGGAGCAAACGGTGATTTTCACCCAGCTCCGTCCTCCTCCGGATGGTTTCATGCACCCATACACGCCGGCGGCGTCTATGTCGGACATGAAGGTATGCGGCAGCACAGGTCACGATGTCGTCCATCTTCAACACTGGTCGCACTGAAAACTGAGCTACTGACGTTAACGTGATGACGTCATCGGCGACCAGCCGCGACCTGCGACCTCCGCGACTGCAGCTTTGGACCCGGTGTTGACATACCAGGGCACCACGCGACGCGACCTGACCGACCAACGTGACGCGACGCGACCTGGTCGCGTTTGGTCTGAACGCGGCTTAAGACTTTTTCTATATACAAAAAAGACCTATTTCTCTCAAATATTGTAGACAAATTTGCCTAGATCTGTGTTAGTGGACACTTCACTTTTGCTTAGATGATCCATCCACCTCACAGGTGTGGTATATCAAGATGCTGATTAGACCACCCCTCTTCAATGGCTGTGCAAAGTTGCTGGATATTGGCAGGAACTGGAACATGCTGTCGTGTACGCCGGTCCAGAGCATCCCAACCGTGCTCAATGGGTGACATGTCTGGTGAGTATGCTGGCTATGCAGCCCTTGCTTTACCTGTCAAGATGAAGTTCTCTGCAAACTGAAATGCATCGTTTTTATTCACATTTACATAGTCACCAAGTTGAAAAAAAGGACAGTAATCTGTGTAAATAATGCATCTTGTCAGCTTTTCAAACAAATGAACAGAACAGAATGTTGTTAATACCTTCATCACCAAAACTCTGCAGCTATTTGAGTCCTGCTGTTTATGATGCCGCAGAGTCTGCACCTGCCACACCTCAGCAACTCTCTCCATTATCTTAAGAAAGTTCCTGGGTAAAACAAAATAAGAAACAGTTAAGCATTTAGCCAGACATGTTCTTCTTGTAAATCATTACTTTTGAATTATAAATAAGTTACCTTTAGTTGCGGAGAACTTTTCTCCCATAACAGTTCCCATCGCCAATGGGATCAATTAGGACAAGGGTCCTTGTGGGGATAAAAATTATTAAAATAAATTATATATTTTTTGCGTGTTAACTGTGCAGCAATTTCATTTGTTCATTATTTTTAGGTGGTGGTCAGCAGGATTTGCTGGAGACATATGGTGGAGAGGCAGATAAGGAATTTCGCTGCAGACGACAAAGTTGAAGTCCAGAAGTACATGGCAAATCCTTTAATTCCCTTGTCCAAAGCTCTACTCCACTTCAGGGCAACAAGAAAGACTGTCAAAACGTCCTACCAGCATATATCTGTGTGAAAGCATAATCTGACAGTGTTTTTTTTCCACCTGCTGAAACATCCTACCAGCATATTAATGCTCATGTCTGCACCTTGTTAAAGCGCTAGCTTAACATGGTGATGCAATTTCTTTTAATAGCTGGTTGAATTCGCTCGTTTACCCACCAAAGGTTACCCCTCATGCTTCACTTGGCCATGGTTATATTGGCTTTATGACTCATGACTGCATCACATGTCAAAGCACTAGCTTAAACAGGGTGATGCAATAGTTCAATCAATCAACTCAATCAAAGGCTAGAAATCGGTATTAGGATATATTTTAAGTGGAAAATGCTAAAATCTTATCCCTTTTTAATGAACTGCTGATCTATGATCTATGACAAACGGCTGCAAAATTATGCTTTAGACTTGTGTGCATGCACAGTGAGGCATGGTAGGACATCTCGACGGGTAGGATGGATTTACAGAACACCGGATCTTCATTAAGATGGCTGCATGCTAATCTATTGCTGCAGATATTACTGTTTTGTGTCAGAGAGCCAGATATTCAGATGTCTGTGTGACTTTTATCACTGGCGCAGGGAGCAAAACTCTTGTGTTTATTAGCATCCATGGTGCTAGCTCATGACACTAGCCACAAGTACTTCACTAAATTATATTGTGAAGTTGCATGTTACTGAACTCCGGTGTCCCTGCCTCTTCAAAAGCCGAACATGGACTGATGAGGGCCATGTATTCTGCTTTGCGCCCGGAGTGTCTGTGTGTGTGTATGTGATGCTTAAGCCTCTGGTGAGTGAACTTTATGATAAAAGTCGGGTAAATGGAGTTGAAAAGTGCATCTGCTAATGTTAATATAGATGAACAGGGAGAAATGTTCAGCCAATTCACATTTTGTTTCATGTTAATATTGAGAAATGTGTTCAGTTCATTTAATGGACAGTAAAGACTAGTTAAAATGGTTTTCAAGAAACAATATTACAAAGTAGTGGTTATATGCATTTATTTGCATTTGGAAGTATATTTTGTTTACAGGAATATTACAGTTACCCTCTTTTTTGGCCTTTGTAGGCCAGGTTTTTTTTC